TTAGTTGAATTCGCTATTACTACTTGTAATGGGGTTTCAAAGCCCGTGGTCACCTATGTAGTTTCTTCATTTTAGGTCAAATCGACTCAAGAATGGTGTTATATTAGATGCAGCATTTATTGATTTCTGGAATCACAGCACCTCTAAGCGTAATCATAATTCCGTCGATTGACCTACAGCATAGGCCTAGGGAAAAGTAGTAGGAAGGAAGGCATAAGTTTACTCTTTACTACTTTTACATAGACCTATGGCCTAAAGATAAGTTTGGGATCCCTTATTAAAACCAAAACCTCTATTTCTAATTACAGCCCCTAAAAGCAACAACCCTGAACCAAGTGGCAGTCATTGAACCAAAAGGCATTTTTATGTGCCAACCTATAATGAGACCCCCTTTAGTGAATAACAACCAGGTAGTCATCTAAGGTATAACAACATGTTCAGTTTGTAATTTTATAGAAGGTCACTGAATCCTCTAATCGTTCATTCAGTTACGGATAAACTATGAGTACTGGGTTTTATGAGAAATAATAGCAGAGGGGCTTGGCCTGAGGCTATTAGTTCTCATATGACCCATTTCGAATAGTTTATCTAACTTAAACTCCACACTGATTCTTATGAAGGGTAATTGACCCATGATCCAAGTTTAGAAAAATTCTTTTGTATTAACTATGTGGTAAATGTGTAGAGAAGTGGGTTGGTTTGATTGGTTCAGCTTCAATGCACTGCATGTATCAGGCAAGGTACATTGAAAATTGTATTTATTTTGTGTTTACAATTCAACTATTGAGTGATTGAAAATGGTTTAACAAGAACAGCTTCGGTGCACTGCATGTGACAGTCAAGGTGTAAATATTGAGCCAAACACTGTCAATCATATTTTGTGCCACACTGGTTTTAGATAGCTGCAGTGTCCATTCTTCAAAAACAATACAACAAGAATGCACTCCTCTTTCTTACTACTGTACATTCATATTCTTTAAGGTGAAAACGGTCTTAAATTGACCAATTTTTCAAAAATTCAAATCTGACTTTAGATTTTACAATTGACCTTCAATGACCTTCTCAAAGTAAAGAGGGTCTAAAAGGTATTTTTCAACTTGCTTCGAATTGAATCAAAATCACCTACAAGTTCTCAGAAGTCAAATCTGACTTTTGAATTGACATTTGACCTCTCAAATTCAAAAAGTTCAAAAAGGCATTTTTCAACTTGCTTCATATAATCATTTTCTTTTCAAGATTTAACTTGAACTACACGGTGATGACATTTTGTAATGGCAATGCCTTGTTCTACATGTTGTTATTTCATGATTTCTTTACGAAGTATTGGCTTCGTACCTCATACCCATGTACGTGGGTGGTGATGCAGTTTTTGAAGGGTTCAATTTTTAAAGTTTTAAAAGATTATTCAATTTTAATGCTATCTGAGGTATAAATACATTCATAGTATCCATAGATGTGAACTTCGTCTAGTGAAAGATAGATAGATACAGAGTCATAAAATAAAGCCAGAATTGTTAATTTTTTGTTTTTCATTGATTGTCAAAATAGCGCCATTCAAAGGACTTTTCAATAGAGAAAAATCCATTCTAAATAAGTTTTAAATATGTCAGGGTATCATTTTATTTAATCACAGCATGATTAAAGATAATTGTAGTCTCGATCAGGAATCGTAAATTCACGTTTTAGTGTAGATTGGTTCTATAGTGAACGAGCATTTCAATTAGGCAATTTTTATCGAAATAGCAAAGGTAAACAATTTTGCAATTCTGGCCTTATTTATGACTAGAAAAATGTTGGATCTATAAGACATACACGTAGGTCTACAAGTGCATTAATGCACCTACAATTCATATGATCAGAATAATCTGAAACGTTAGAATTGAACTCTTCAAAGAATGCATCATGCCCCAAGTACGCCGGCACGTGGGTACAAGGTATAAGGTTTTTCATACAAAGCCCGAAGTATTGACTGAGAATATAGAGTGATTGAGTACGTGACAATATCATAATTACACAAGGCCATAATTACACAAGGCCATATACATATTGTCAAAGGGTAAAACCCAACGCATTAAACTGTTTATTCCATAAAAATTCCAATCAGCAAAAACAATCCAATAAAATTTGAAATGAACAAAAAATGCAACAAATGATTGGCCAAACCATTGGAGAAAATTATTATTTGCATGTACTCTGTATACAGTGGTACCTGTATCAATACCTACTACATATAACACTATTCGAAAGATCATTTACAGCAAACTTCTTTACATAAGGCACTTTAGAAACCCCCAATATGGTTGATGATAAAGAAAGATACACATGGGAAGAGTTAATTCAAATAAGATGGTATTGAATCATATTTGTTGAAACATCGCAAATGTGTAATATTTCAAATATTCATTTACACTATACAATTCAAATATATAAACAAGTATTTCCTCTTATGTGTTTTACTAGGTGTTAAACATATTTATGTTTTACTGTACATACTTTACACGACCCAGTCATGTTGACATATCCATGTTCATTTCTATAATACGTAATTATGCAACAATGAATACACAGAGTATCTAGCACTCACCCATGTAGAATATATCATGCCATCTATGGAACATATATAACTCTATCTATAAACATGATTGCATAAAATAGGGTACATCTAAATGTCGCTCTAAGTGACATCTTTTCATACACTTCATACTAAGGTCATGGCCTATGAGGTAAAAATGACAAATGGATTATCAGATAATGCTTATCTCATTTAGATCATTTTTTTTCTTTTTGGAAATCAATCGTGTGACATAGCTCAATGTTTTTGTGCATTAATCTCGTTAAAAAATTGCTACTTTTAGGTAAAAAATTCGGCCTAAAAAAAGTTATTGTTTTTGGATTATCCTAATCCCAAAGTAATCAAGTTTTCCTTTTTAGAGGTAGATCATTCCTTACAATAAATTGTAATTTTGCCATAAAAGCTGAAATAAAATGCTGCATTTTTGGTGAAAATTGCGTCCGAATTAGGGAAAATTGGTGAAGATGGTTGGATTAGGAACAGCTTAAGAGATAATCCATTCAACTTGATTATTATCCTATTGTCATTTATTGAAGACAAGACATGGATCTAACAGAACCATTTGTTTTTGTGGTTAAAGTATTCTTAGAATTAAAGATATAGCCCTTTGAAAATGGCTTGCCATATCTTACGTGCTCCTTTGCCTTAATACCTCTGTCAATAGGATTCCCGTTTTAAGTTATTTTTGTTCAACATCAATGTAGAAAACTCCTCTATGACTCCTGGTACAAAAGCTCGCCTATTTTCAAAATGGTCGCCATTTTTGTCCTGCAGAATTCACTTTTGGCCCATTTCCTAGTTTTACAAATAATTTCAGGTGTCCTGAATTGTAAAAATCCATGTTAATGTAAAGAGTAGTTGTATGAAATAATTTTGTTACAAAAAATTGGCAAAAAGTTATATCTGTTTTTTTTTATTTTCAGCCATTTTAGTTAACATTGATTTGTCCATATGTCTCGCGCAATCCACTTTTGGACCATTTGCCTTAAAACCTCTGTCGATAGGATTGCCGTTTTAAGTTATTTTTGTTCTACATCAATGCAGAAAACTCCCCTATGACTCCTTGTTCAAAAGCTTGATTATTTTCAAAATGGTCGCCATTTTTGTCTTGAGAAATTCACTTGTGGCCTATTTCCTAGCTTTACAAATAATTTCAGGTGTCCTGCACTGTAAAAAGCCATGTCACTGTAAAGAGTACTTGTATGAAATAATTTTGTTACAAAAAATTGGCAAAAATTACATCCATTTTTTTATTTTCTGCCATTTTAGCCATAATTGACTTTTGAGCAACACCATGTGAGCCCAGTACCCATGGTACTATTTATTTACTTTTTCAAATAAAACAACACAAAATGTTTTTGTATCTACCCTTTTATGACAAAAAGTGAGTAAATACCTTTCCTTGATCCGAAAATTTGACAAAATGAAATATCGAAAAAGTGGTGATGGAAGACAAATCACAGCCAAGAACCTAAAAAACTGAATAGGTAATAACTTTTTAAAATTAACCTACCAGGACCCCCCCCCCTGGCTATAATATGACGTAAAAAATTATCGGTTGAGTATTGGGTGAGAAAATTTGTTTTTAGTACACCTCGGCTATGGAAAAAGCAGTCTCGCGCATTAAAAATATAAGATATAAAATAAGTGTATTGGAGCCAAAGGTTGCAGCATTGACATATTTTCATGGTTTATTTTGCTTCTTATTATAGATCCTATATGTTTCTACTGGTACATTATCAAAAAATATTTAATAGAATTACACGTTTGGCGCTATATTTACTATTTCATGAAATTTATTTTAAAATAAATAAAGTCAACCGAGATGACAGAACATTATTTTCTCAAAAGTTCGAACTTGAAATACAATACAATTTTCTCTCACCAACTTGTAAGTTACATATTCAGAAACGTTTGTAAATTGCATGCATATTTAGATGGAAAATGACTAAAAATAGCCCTGATATGGAAAAATCTTGGGGTAGACGAGAGAAAAAATATTCCTACAAAACTAATCAAGATATGGTTATATTGTTTAACAGACAGCTAGCAAACATGTTCAGGACCTCCAAAAGTGTCCTGGATGTAATCAGTTTTTTACTCAAATCATTTGGATCGAATATCTTTTATAGTCTATATTCACTATGTACTTTATGGTCTATATTCAAAAGAATATTAAAAAAATGGTCCTTTATCTTTAGCTATAGCTACTACGATTATAAAAATATCTTATCTTGACAGCGAAGTACCGGGAAAAAATCCGAACCCCTCCCTTTACACATTAGGGTTTATATCGTAATATGTAATATATATAATAGTAATATATAAATAGTACTATATAAAAACACGGGAGATGTTCATCTACATATCTTTATATGATAACTGTCAATCTTGGAAACAGCATTTTGACTTAAGGCCGCATACATACCGTACAATGGGGCGTGATGGAGTACAACGTTGCTTTTGTGGTATGAACAGATAAACCAATATTTTCAACATCTACTCCCCAGACTTCTTTGATTGTGGTTGACTTGCCAGCGTCTTGAGTACCAACAACACACACACAGCAAGCTCTCGAGAGCACCTGGCGAATCTTATGCACAGACAAACACATGTTAATGCGATCCGAAATGTCTTTTTTCGACTTCTTAGTTAATTGCTCGGTACGACCTTCGTTTCCTCGTAGACAAAGATAATTTATCCTGTTGTCATAATTAGGATCCTGACAAATATCGTGCAACCTTTTCTCTAACTGAAGAGTAGACTCGCTTTGAAAATTCCCGGTATCCATTCTCGACATCATCGTGCAAAGGAAGCACAAAATGTCTCTGTAACTTCCATCTTCGTTACCGCTCGTATAATAATAATACACGACACCCACAGAGCTAACAACTGCAAACAGGCCTGCTGATGCCAAAGCTAGTTGTGGCATTGTAACAGCTGTAGCAGTTTGCACAAGCAGAGTCCCAAGACCTATAAAATAATATTACATTACTACACTATTATTCAAGTAATTTCAAAATTTGTTTTATATTATGTCTACATTAGTTCTTGTTCTCCCACTGTAAATTGTAAGTCTGCTTGTATTTATTTTTCGAGCAATCAATTTATATTTAAGTTCACGCTTTCTTGCTTTATGAACCAAATACAAACCAGTAAGGTATGTATTCAAAAATTATTTCCTGTTATCTCAAAATCTGCTTGGAACAATACCATTGGATTACTTTTTTATATGAGGAATTCCTTCAAGAAAATATTTCTCGATATTTTTTGACCCACGCACAGAGATCCGTAATATTATTCGTATTAATACACATAACTAAAATTCAAACGAAGTTTTTTCATTTGGAATTCTGAATAAATGTTTTCCAAGTTTTTCATACATGTGAATGAATATCCACCTATTGAAGATAAAAGCATTTTGAAGCTCTGGAAAACACAACATATCGGAACTACCTTGCGATCCCGCACATTGACATTTTCAGTGAAAGGGCTGGGTAATAACACCAAAAACATGGCTTTAGAGTGCGGAGAGTTTATGAAACTATTGCAAGAAGGAACGTAATTGTGTGTACATGTATAAAAATGGGTAAATGTAAACTGCAACCTGACTCATTTACTAAATGAGCGTGGTGTAAAAGTGGTTTTGAAAAATGGCCTTTTATGTAGGTTATTTGTGGTTTATTATTCTACATTGATTCTGAAAATATTGGTGTCTAGTTTTTCAGCGTTTTTGAAATATGCAGATTTATACCCCCTGGTGTGATTTTAAGGGGGGGGGGGTACTAGGAAAACCATGTATAATTCTTAGAATATACAATCAATCATCTTGATATTTACAGGTAATCATCTACGTACCATGTTCTACCATTATGACAAATTTAATCAAAGTTGGTCAACTGGTTGCTATGGTAACGGAGATCATATGTTAAAAAGTACACATTTTCGTAAAAATCTAAGACACCCCCTGAGGCAAAACACATATTATTTTCATGAATTTGGGAGGAATCACCATGAAAACATTTTAGAAAACTTTTTCAGAGTATGTTTGATAACATTAAATCAACTAATTAGTGTGTGCCAAAACCCCAGAAAATCACAAAAACCTATGTTGTGGTAGCTTACTATGAAGTGACCCATTATCATTATAGATTGGTCCATTAACTATTCATTTTTACTTGTCTGCACTCAAAAAGGTGACACGAATGGGCTAAACGGCTTGCCACAAGGTGCAACCATCAAAAAGATGAGTTTGATAAAAGATTATTTTTTTCAAATAATAGCAATGGGTATACAATATAGGATGCAAATTTGATTTTGATAAGTATGATAGTCCATTTGCGTGTGGCCATTTTTATAAAAAACAATGATTGTGAAGAATTATATATTTCTGACCTGAAAATGCCATCGTAATTCAAAAGTCATTGTTGTTAATGATAATATTACTATTTCACCTATTCAATGTTTTCAAAATATTTTACTTACCATTATATTCATTTTTTGGCAAAGTAAATAAATATAGGGCTCACAATCTTTTATATTTAGTGATGTTTTGAAAAAATATAAGATTAAACACAATTTTATTTGTTAAATGTTTAACAAAATAAACATGGTGTGTTTATTGCATTGTTTCGACTGAAAAATCGCAAGTCATTGCTCTTCCTCTTAGAATGGCATGGGATATACAAGTATATAAACAGTCTTAAAAAATGTTGATCCTTGTGTAAGCCCTACACTTATTTACTTTGCCAGAAACTGATATCATGGTTATTCGGTGGTATGAAAATCATTTCAAAGGTAAAATGGGAAGAATGTCATTGAACTTGGAATAAAAAGCATTATACGGTTAGAAATACCCAATTTTTACCATAATTGTTTTTAACTAGACTTGGGAAATTGAACGAAGTTCAATTTCAGACTCCAGATCCAGACTTTTTTAAGCCCAGTCATCTAAAATAAGCCGAGTCATCCAGAATAAGATGGATGGATAAAACAGGAAGGTAGGATAGGATAGAATGGGAAGGAACGATAGGATAGAATAAGAAAGAAGGAAAGGATAGAACAGAATAGGAGGAAAGGATATGATAGGAGAGGATAGGAAGGATAGGAAGGAAAGGATACGAAGGAAGGATAGGATAGGATAGGAACAGATAGGAAGGATGGATGAATTTTTCAATATTTTCTTCTCTACTCTTGACTTTCTATCAGGATACCATCAGATCGATTTTCCGAAATTTCAAAACGCCATAACTTCCGAACCGGAAGTCGGATCGAAATTTGATGTAAAGATTCGGATTCCTGACAAAATTCTACCCCTAATTCATAACTCATACATTAAATTTGGCGAATTTTTATGTTGACCTACTTTTTGGACACGCCATAACTTCGGAACCGGAAGTCGGATCGAAATTTGGTTTGCAGATTCGGATTTCTGAGAAAATTCTATTCTTAATTCATAACTCAAACGTTAAATTTGGAGAACTTTTTATTTTGACCTACTTTTCGGACACCATATCTCAAAAGTGGGTCAAAATTCTTTCTGACGGCAAAAGGCTAACACTATTAGCCCACTCTTGGCTATATATATACACAATATCGAAGAATATAATTAAAGTGTAGTGTCAGAATCGCAAAAATAAGGATAAACTATGAATTTGACCTAGATTTTGACCTAGGGATTTTGGTGTCCAAATTTTGAAGTTAAGTAGCCTTCAAGGTCCCAATCTTTCATAGGCTTTCATTATTTTAAGCTGTACTTAGTCTAAATCTCGTAATTTACACTTCAAAAAAACCTTATTTCCCATTGCCATAACATGGGGCACCAAATTTAGCGATTTTTGAGCTTTCAAAATGTCATAACTTCCAAACCGGAAGTTGGATCGAAATTTGGTTTGCAGATTCGGATTCCTGACAAAATTCTACCCTTTATTCATAACTCATACGTTAAATTTGGAGAACTTAATATTTTGACCTACTTTTCGGACACCATATCTCAAAAGTGAGTCAAAATACTTTCTGACGGCAAAAGGCTAACACTATTAGCACACTCTTGGCTACATGTATACACAATTTCGAAGAATATAATTGAAGTGTAGTGTCAGAATCGCAAAAATAAGGAAAACCTTTGAATTTGACCTAGATTTTGACCTAGGCATTTTGGTGTCCAAATTCTGAAGCTAGATGGCTTTTGAGGTCCCCTTCTTTTGAAGGCTTTCATTAAATTAAGCTGAACTCAGTCTATATTTCGTATTTATCACTTCAAAAAAATCATTTTTCCCATTGACTTAACATAGACACCAAATTTAGCGATTTTTGAGCTTTTAAAACGACATAACTTCCGAACCGGAAGTCGGATCAAAATTTGGTTTGCAGATTCGGATACCTAGGAAAATTCTACACCTATTCCATAACTCATATGTTGAATTTGGAGAACTTTTTGTTGTGACCTACTTTTCGGACGCCATATCTCAAAAACGGTTAGAGTTATCAAAAAACGATTTGCCTTTCGGAATTAGCTTTGTTTTAAAGGAACATGACTAAAAAAAACGGAGCGAAAATATCGAAAGACGACCGAGAAAATTGAAAAAAATAACAAAGTACTGGATTTGACCTAGTTCTTGACCTTTGACCTAGATAAAAATTTGACCCCATTTCCCACCAACTAGATACTATACCTATATTGACCATATAATAGTCTTGAAAAGATGTCTTATAGTTGTTGAGAAAACTCGATCAGTATAATAAGAATAAGAAGAATAAGAAGAATAAGAAAAGAGGCAAAAACAATAGACTCCAGATTTCATCTGGAGTCTAATAATATAACCATACCCTAATGGACTATCTTTTCATTTCAATAACCAATGTGCATTCTATTTTGCATTTTTTACTGCAATTATTTGTAAAAATAGTTTTAAATCTTACATTTTTGACTGGAAAATGAAGAGACAATGATCAGATATACTCATATTATTGGTCACATTTATATTTAGATTTTGGGAAACACATCCCCTTACTGATCCAATTCAGAACTACTAGAGAAAGTAACTCTCGTGAAAAACTTCATCAACATGACTGTTGATTACTGATTGCAGTAATTAAACTAATGACCTCATATTTGGATATCTTCTTTTCCGATATGATTTTACAATTTACTTCAAATTGGCAAAGGACCAGGTGTAGTATGGCAAGTGATATCTGACGGTCATATATTTTACCATGACTACTTTTTCAATATAAATATGACATTTCTCAAAAACACAATATGTTATCTTTCAAGAAAATTCAATTCTCAATGATAATAAAAAATATCATTCGAACAATCTAAAAAACTATGAATAGGGAACCCATCTCAACATTTTTTTGAACTTATTTACTCAACAGAGGTTCTTCTTTTTATATGAATTGAATAAAATTATTATTCAACAAGTGGTCTATAACGTTTTCATTAGTAGAATTGTAATGAAAGACTAGTTTTGGAGATATCAATTTTCAATGACCAAAATTATGCTGAAAACAATGGATAGTTTGAGTTTTTCCAATAGAAAATAACTTTATCACATTTCAATACCCATTCCCTTTTCAGAATTTGTTAATTCATTAGCGTAGAAGAACCTTTGATATACCTGTAAATTTAGTAGTAAAATCATGTAGTGTATCATTAAGTTGTCAAGGAATCAAACCAGAATGAAATCATAAAAATAAGTTGAAAATAAATGTTGAGGGGGATTCATGATGTTTTTTCTTTTCAAGTGAAGAAGTTGGATGATATTATTTTTATCACGGGGACTTTACATAAGAAAAATCACATTGTTTTCACAAAAACACATTTAGCCCCAAAACGCCAAATGCTAATAAGATATTGAGCTATGACCTTGAAATGATCTTGATCCATAAACACTGACATGGACCTCTGGTCACTTTATCATTGGTCATTAAATAGGACTGTAGCCCCACAGTAGCCAACTACCTAGATA